TGAGGGAAACTTGTCTTTATGTCAGCTGGGCAATCTTCCATATATGTGGAACATTTGTCCACCTTCTTTTGGTAATCGAGTTGAACTCTATCAAGTTCGTCAGATGTTCTAAAAATGTCAACATTTCTGGCTTCATATTTTCGGCATTCTTCACGTCCACAACCCTCCTGGAGTGTAAGTATTTCATGCTCAGTAAGATCAAGAAACAGCGAACTAGGATTCATTCCGAAAAATACATTGAAGATGAGAAAGTATTCCGTTTCCAGCGGGGGATACTGGAGAGTTCCACCATAGCTTTTGATCACTTCAACGACTTTGCACCAAGGACTGTGCCACTCACAAGTGTCCCCCCCAATGACCTTTGCCAAGTACATTGGAGTGATTCCATCTTTGTTTGTACAGTCTACATCTATACCAAGAATATCTTTACTGGAAAGCAAATGTGCGATGAATTGCCACATTCCCCGGGATGCAGCAACGTGGTAAAGGGTTAAATCTGAGCGACTTTTGTTACAGCCTACATCCATAGTCCCATTTCGAAGAATGTGATCTAAAATAGCAGACGCTGAAAACGAGGCAAGTTCGACTTCTAGAGATGTCAGTACACTAGGTCTACCAAGATTCAAGAAAGGTCTGTACTTCACAGCATATAATATAGAGAGCCACAACGCAGAAAACCCATCTGCAGATTCTAAAAGAGGGTTAGCTCCCCAAGAAAGATATTTATGAATTGCGACCAAATTTGCACCCTGAGCTGCTCTGTGGAAGGCGTTGTAGCCCTCTGCATCAAAGCATTCGTCAACAACGTTACTACTTTTAGGATGTGACAGAATCGCCGAGGTCAATGGGCCATCACCTGTTTTTATAGTTTCAACGTTTCCTTTGTTGTTTTCCTCGTCATATCTATCCAGGAAATAATCAAATATCGCGTTTTTTGTTTGCAAATATTTACGCCAGTTGCCACTGCCCAGTAAAAACTCAGAAAGGTAGTGGAGGTAGTGTAGTTTGTGATATGAGACTAAGTGCAAGACGGAATTTTCAAAGGGATCTCCGCATGTGATCTTCATCTCTACATTATGTTTTACTAGGACTTTGGACATGTGACGGCCACCAGTACGTAGATAAACCAGAAGAGGAGTCAATCCTGATACATCTCGACAGTTTACGTCAACACCCGCTTGTAATACGGTGTTTACTGCATGAACGAAGTTTAGACGAACAAAGTTTAGCAGTTTGGAGCAGTTTAAGTTTGTAAATGTGGATGTATATGCTCTCGATAAAACTCTCGTTAAAGCCTTTGGAATTAAACCTGGTTCATATGGCTTGTTTAAAGCTACAACATGGCTCTTTAGAGTTTCCGAGCAGGTGACGTCGTAAGCGAAAATAAAAGGAGTCAGTGATAGTACGAAAAGGCTACCACTGGTTATACTACTTCCGGTTAAAAGAGAAGAGGTATTGGTTCTCTCTTCTAATTTATCAAAAACAGTCCGATTCCTCTTGTCTTTCATCTCTAAAATGGCCGTCTTTCTAGCTCTTTCTGATTTGGCAAAGCTCTCGACTAGCTTTACGAACGCGCTTAACCAAGGATACTGTAAATCCAGCTTGCTCAAGGTCGTCTGCTGTTGGGAAGCGCCTCTTTGATTCGGCTCTATCCAACCCTTTGGATTGCTCACATACAAATCAACAAAATACTCTGGACCAACATAGGAAACGTCTTTGACAATATAGTGTAATGCAGTCATCCCTCCGCTATCAGTAGCAAGGATATCACAGCCCAGATTAATCAAAGACCAGTAAACGTTCTTTGCAAAACATGCTGCCGCGCTGTGAAGAGGTGTCGAACCATTCAGACTTCGTGCAGTGATATCGGCTCCACTGTGGACTAGAAGGGCCACGAGGGATGGCATGTCTTGGCAAGAGGCGACGTGAAGAGGGGTCGAACCGTTGCAATCTAGTGCATTAACATCTGCCTTGTGATTAATAAGCAGCTCGGCAACACTGTGATACCCGTGAGCAACAGCAATATGCAGAGAAGTAAACCCACACGGACAATGAGTTCGAGTAAACTTTGCTGGTATAAAGGACTCCATACTCAATGATAACGGTCTGCTGTCGCACTGAACATCAGCATTCGCCCCAGATGCTAGCAACAGTTTCAGTGTATTATAGTTATTTGCATGAACAGCCTCGTGCAGGGGGCGTCTACCTGCGGAATTTGGGCAGTCAATAGCCGTTTGGTCTTCGCTTAGCAGTGCCTTTATTACTGAAAGATGGCCACTTCCGATTGCCGCATGAAGAGCTGTTTCACGCAAATAAAGATGACGGTTATCATACAAACGTACTTTAACGGAGTTCAGTTCACTGTCCTCTTCATCAGAAAACATGGACGAAGGAATTGTGTGGATACAAGTGTCTTTCATTCCTTCTCTCAGTAGATACTGCACAACATGGTTGTGGCCCCTAGCGGCGGAGTGATGTAGCGCGGTGCCGTCCAGAACTTCGCCAGCTGTTCTGAGAGTCTGGACAGTCTCAAGATGCCCGTTTGCTGCTGCTAACTGTAATGCAGTATTATTAGCTCCAGTTGTCTTCATGATGTCCACTTTGTGGCCAATGAGAAATTTTACAACGTGGACGTTACCTTCTTGAGAGGCTGTATGCAGAAGTGAATATTCACACAACTTCCTTTTGCATTCGGTGATGGGATCTTGGGAATGAGAAACAATTTCAGCATCTAGATAAGACGTGGTGTGGTTTAGGTTAGCTCCTCTTTGAAACAGTATTTTCAAGTTATCCAAATGCCCTGAAGTTGCCGCTATAAAGGATGGTGTGCGCTGGTCGTTATCTAAGCAGTCAACGTTTGAGAAGTGGTGCACCAAAAGTTTAGTTACATCGGCATGAAAGGAACTTGAACTGTGGTGAAGTGCCGTTGCTCGGGTCACAGAGTCAGTGGTGTTGATTTGGTTCGAAGGAAGCGACAGAAATTGCTTGACCATAAATTCCTCCAGATCCCCTTCAACAATGTGACTGGCTAGGTGAAAAGCCTCGTCGGGTTTAAGTGGTGAATTGCTTTCAATAGCGTTTTTTAGATAGTACTTTGCAAGACGGTTATGGCCATTTTGTTTCTTGATGTAATAAAACTTTCCTTTGTTGCCTTCACTAGTGAGCCATTCGGACAAAGAAGTATGATAAATTTGAATAAGGCCATCCCCTGATCCATGCCACAAGAACAAAGAGACCTGTTCAAGTTTCGGTATAAACTCGTATTCTAGATCAAGAGTTGGGTTGTCAAGCCTTAGCAGTGAGTGCATTTCATGGATGTTAAGCGGTTTGTACGCTGCAACTAAGACTTCAAAAATTTGTCGCAAAGATTGAAAAGTTTCGGGCGCGCCATACTTTCTTTCAAAGTACAATTGATAAGAACTGTCAAGTGACTTTGGAAAAGAATCCCATGTAAAACTCTCTGCTGATGCGAGCCACAAGTCCAACACGACTTTAACAAACTGGAAGTTCCCCTGACTTTTATCGGCTAGGACTGAGACAATTTTCTGAGTTGGCGCTTCGTTATCCTTGATTTTAAGGGCTGTCTTAATCCTGTGTATGATGGATTCTTTCATTGAAAAGACCTTCAGTGATAGATATGTGTCAATATCATTACGATTCCTCTCATCGTCCGATCTTAACTCTACTCTCTGCAGACAATCTAGGCTTGCAGTGATGGTGCTAACGTTCCGTGAACTGACAATTAGTTTTAACCACTTTGGAAATCGAGGAAGTTTGGATTTGAGCAAGTTGAGAATCTCTGCTTTGTCATTCGCACATTCATCCAAGGCATCAATGACCACATACCATGGCTCCATTCGTTGCTGCTGCAGTTTTTTCAAAGGTGTGAGGATTCCCTGCTCAAAACACCATTCTGGATCTTGAGCACAATCTTTATACAACACCCTGCGGGCAAACAAGTCTGTCGAAATAAGTTGACCATATTCAGCGATTCTCCAGGCGATCATATTTGCAAGGTTTCTAACAAATTTGGCTCCACTCTGCGTCCCTTTGTCGAAGTGCATGCAAAAATGGTACCCGAGGGTTCTGCCATGGATGAGTGGGCTGGATGTTCTGGAACAAAGTAAATGGCTTAAAAAGGCGGACTTTCCAGAGCCAGGATTTCCTGTTATTAAAACACCACGCTTGTTAGTGTGCTCTAAGACACTTTCCATTTCCTGGTACAGCCACTGACGTCCGATGAATTCTGCGTTCGACGAATTGATAAAGTCACTGAAGTCGAAGTATTTGAGCTCCCATTGATCACTGTACACCTGGATGGAACATCCTAAAAAATCAAAACCTCAGAAATTGTTTGGAATCCTTTCACTTCAAACAGAAGCATAGGTGATATTCTTCTGCTTTACATAAATATAAGTGAGGAGCTAAGCTAAGCTAAACTACATACATCACAGCTAATATATACCGCTGCTAATTTATTTTACTTCCACGGCGCGAGTGACTTAATACTTGCAGATATTGAGTGTTACGGGCAGAGCGTTTTTGATACATTGAGTGCTAAATCTGAACTATAAAGGGTCGTTCATTAACGGAGAGTCGATAGCTCATAGAAGGGAGAAAACTTCAGGTGGACAGTAAAATGGTACTCCTACCACGTCTTCCTCATAAAGTCCTTAACCAATCTAGACTACTGAGAAGCTTACAAGAGAGAAGCATCCATCCCCAACTACTGGTGAGTAATGTATCCGTTAAGAACATATCATTTCGCGGAAAAACTGAAATGGACAAATTATCAAGTGACTAATGGACTAGAGTCTAATGAGATGGCCACTTGACATCACGTGCTTCTGATAACCGAATTACCGTGGTATACATCACTCACTCACCGTCTCTGTCATAAGAATGATCCAAAACGACAAAGCAATGACAGAGTAACAACAGCATCAACCATAAGACAGCATCGCGTTTTCTTAGGCCTTTGACGTTTCCTGCCAGGTTTCCGAGCACACNGGGTTATCAGAGCGGAAGACTGAACACATACGGAAGCACGTGGAAAGCGATTTGCGCGGTGAATTTGGATGAAATTTTAATCGGAATCAATCGAATTGCTGGAGAGGAAAAGTGGATGGAGCCGCTTCTTTAAAAGCCTAATCACCACGGACCCAAATCTAGGGCAGAGTCAAGTTCCACTATCGGCCTTCTATATCGCTACACTATTTATTGAAGAGAGCTGGATTACATTATCAAAACATTAAAAATGCCAAGGGCTCAGATTTTTCCTTTGTCCCACGTTACAGACACGTTGAAAATTGTTTCTTAAACATGTAATGGATATTGTTCTTCGCTTAACAGAATTTACTACTCAGAACTAAGATTCAGCTTTCTATGTTATAGCAAGCTAAACACGAGGTTTCTGGAAACTTTCTTTGAATTCTTCAGTTACAACCCGTTCCGCTTTTGTTCAGAGCAGCACCGAAAGGATATTGACATATTAAAGAATATATTACATCATCCTATGTAGAAAAGATTTCTATTCTAAAACTACAAAATTTCATAATTCACCGAGGTCTCATTATCATATTACGCTCCATCATTGGCCAACTGACCCAAGTGAACAAATTGAAACACACCTACGATCACCAGGATTGATGGTCAGCCAGAGATAACATCCAGTAGAGAGCCAGATTTTGGACAAACGAACTAAAAGGGCGTATTTGCATAATGCAAGCGAGTAAAAGGACCTCCTACAAACATTTTCTTCGCAATTAACTAAATCTGTTTATAGAGACGCCGTCCTCACAAATTCCCTTACCATAAAGACCTACGAAGTCAAATAACACGTTCTGCCCGAAACGTTCGTTTAAGAAGTGTTTTGATATCACCCCCAAGATCTCCATCCAAAATTTCCTATACCTGAAAACGTTTCGTGCCACATGGGTGGCTTTGTGAATCTCAAAGTTCTGAGATAATTATAGTGTTCAGATGGCTCTCCAGACGCGAGCTTCAAAACAAGTTTCAGCGATTCTTCTGAATGTTGAAGGATAGCCTTTTCCATTCTCTTTGACAGAAAATCTGATATACTTGGCACTGTATTCGTTTCGTGTACCGCTTGATTCCAGAAGTTCAAGTTACGGACTTGAAAACTAAGTTGTACGTACTTGATTGCAACTGCCTGCCAGTCACAGCTTAACGTTGTATCATAATTAGTTAGTGCAAAATTCATTTTTGCTAAAAAGCGTGGGAGTTTCCCATTGATCGGCATAGACGATTTCACTTCGTCTGAGTTTTCCAGAACCAAGTCGAGACTTTCTTTGTAATTGCGATACCACTGGTGAAGAACAGTTTCTAGGTCTTGCTTATGGTAGCGGGAACAAATATCAATCCTATCCGTTGGTGGTTTGTAGTTTTCTTGAGAATCTTTGCAGGGCACTTCTGCTTGGGGTCTCGTTGCGATAGACAGAAGGTCCTTCAATCGTTCGATTTCTTTGTCTAGAAAATTGACGAAGGAGTTTCGAATGTAAAAAAAGTTGAACTTTAGGGCCTGTTGGCGGTCAAAGAAGAACACCACAAGTGTAAGATGAGGGAAACTTGTCTTTATGTCAGCTGGGCAATCTCCCATATATGTGGAACATTTGTCCACCTTCTTTTGGTAATCGAGTCGAACTCTATCAAGTTCGTCAGATGTTTTAAAAAGGTCAACATTTCTGGCTTCATATGCTCGGCACTCATCACGCCCACAACCCTCCTGGAGTGTCAGTATTTCATGCTCAGTAAGCTCAAGAAAGAGCGAACTAGGATTCACTCCGAAAAATACATTGAAGATGAGAAAATATTCCGTTTCCAGCGGGGGATACTGGAGAGTTCCACCATAGCTTTTGATCACTTCAACGACTTTGCACCAAGGACTGTGCCACTCACAAGTGTCCCCCCCAATGACCTTTGCCAAGTACATTGGAGTGATTCCATCTTTGTTTGTACAGTCTACATCTATACCAAGAATATCTTTACTGGAAAGCAAATGTGCGATGAATTGCCACATTCCCCGGGATGCAGCAACGTGGTAAAGGGTTAAATCTGAGCGACTTTTGTTACAGCCTACATCCATAGTCCCATTTCGAAGAATGTGATCTAAAATAGCAGACGCTGAAAACGAGGCAAGTTCGACTTCTAGAGATGTCAGTACACTAGGTCTACCAAGATTCAAGAAAGGTCTGTACTTCACAGCATATAATATAGAGAGCCACAACGCAGAAAACCCATCTGCAGATTCTAAAAGAGGGTTAGCTCCCCAAGAAAGATATTTATGAATTGCGACCAAATTTGCACCCTGAGCTGCTCTGTGGAAGGCGTTGTAGCCCTCTGCATCAAAGCATTCGTCAACAACGTTACTACTTTTAGGATGTGACAGAATCGCCGAGGTCAATGGGCCATCACCTGTTTTTATAGTTTCAACGTTTCCTTTGTTGTTTTCCTCGTCATATCTATCCAGGAAATAATCAAATATCGCGTTTTTTGTTTGCAAATATTTACGCCAGTTGCCACTGCCCAGTAAAAACTCAGAAAGGTAGTGGAGGTAGTGTAGTTTGTGATATGAGACTAAGTGCAAGACGGAATTTTCAAAGGGATCTCCGCATGTGATCTTCATCTCTACATTATGTTTTACTAGGACTTTGGACATGTGACGGCCACCAGTACGTAGATAAACCAGAAGAGGAGTCAATCCTGATACATCTCGACAGTTTACGTCAACACCCGCTTGTAATACGGTGTTTACTGCATGAACGAAGTTTAGACGAACAAAGTTTAGCAGTTTGGAGCAGTTTAAGTTTGTAAATGTGGATGTATATGCTCTCGATAAAACTCTCGTTAAAGCCTTTGGAATTAAACCTGGTTCATATGGCTTGTTTAAAGCTACAACATGGCTCTTTAGAGTTTCCGAGCAGGTGACGTCGTAAGCGAAAATAAAAGGAGTCAGTGATAGTACGAAAAGGCTACCACTGGTTATACTACTTCCGGTTAAAAGAGAAGAGGTATTGGTTCTCTCTTCTAATTTATCAAAAACAGTCCGATTCCTCTTGTCTTTCATCTCTAAAATGGCCGTCTTTCTAGCTCTTTCTGATTTGGCAAAGCTCTCGACTAGCTTTACGAACGCGCTTAACCAAGGATACTGTAAATCCAGCTTGCTCAAGGTCGTCTGCTGTTGGGAAGCGCCTCTTTGATTCGGCTCTATCCAACCCTTTGGATTGCTCACATACAAATCAACAAAATACTCTGGACCAACATAGGAAACGTCTTTGACAATATAGTGTAATGCAGTCATCCCTCCGCTATCAGTAGCAAGGATATCACAGCCCAGATTAATCAAAGACCAGTAAACGTTCTTTGCAAAACATGCTGCCGCGCTGTGAAGAGGTGTCGAACCATTCAGACTTCGTGCAGTGATATCGGCTCCACTGTGGACTAGAAGGGCCACGAGGGATGGCATGTCTTGGCAAGAGGCGACGTGAAGAGGGGTCGAACCGTTGCAATCTAGTGCATTAACATCTGCCTTGTGATTAATAAGCAGCTCGGCAACACTGTGATACCCGTGAGCAACAGCAATATGCAGAGAAGTAAACCCACACGGACAATGAGTTCGAGTAAACTTTGCTGGTATAAAGGACTCCATACTCAATGATAACGGTCTGCTGTCGCACTGAACATCAGCATTCGCCCCAGATGCTAGCAACAGTTTCAGTGTATTATAGTTATTTGCATGAACAGCCTCGTGCAGGGGGCGTCTACCTGCGGAATTTGGGCAGTCAATAGCCGTTTGGTCTTCGCTTAGCAGTGCCTTTATTACTGAAAGATGGCCACTTCCGATTGCCGCATGAAGAGCTGTTTCACGCAAATAAAGATGACGGTTATCATACAAACGTACTTTAACGGAGTTCAGTTCACTGTCCTCTTCATCAGAAAACATGGACGAAGGAATTGTGTGGATACAAGTGTCTTTCATTCCTTCTCTCAGTAGATACTGCACAACATGGTTGTGGCCCCTAGCGGCGGAGTGATGTAGCGCGGTGCCGTCCAGAACTTCGCCAGCTGTTCTGAGAGTCTGGACAGTCTCAAGATGCCCGTTTGCTGCTGCTAACTGTAATGCAGTATTATTAGCTCCAGTTGTCTTCATGATGTCCACTTTGTGGCCAATGAGAAATTTTACAACGTGGACGTTACCTTCTTGAGAGGCTGTATGCAGAAGTGAATATTCACACAACTTCCTTTTGCATTCGGTGATGGGATCTTGGGAATGAGAAACAATTTCAGCATCTAGATAAGACGTGGTGTGGTTTAGGTTAGCTCCTCTTTGAAACAGTATTTTCAAGTTATCCAAATGCCCTGAAGTTGCCGCTATAAAGGATGGTGTGCGCTGGTCGTTATCTAAGCAGTCAACGTTTGAGAAGTGGTGCACCAAAAGTTTAGTTACATCGGCATGAAAGGAACTTGAACTGTGGTGAAGTGCCGTTGCTCGGGTCACAGAGTCAGTGGTGTTGATTTGGTTCGAAGGAAGCGACAGAAATTGCTTGACCATAAATTCCTCCAGATCCCCTTCAACAATGTGACTGGCTAGGTGAAAAGCCTCGTCGGGTTTAAGTGGTGAATTGCTTTCAATAGCGTTTTTTAGATAGTACTTTGCAAGACGGTTATGGCCATTTTGTTTCTTGATGTAATAAAACTTTCCTTTGTTGCCTTCACTAGTGAGCCATTCGGACAAAGAAGTATGATAAATTTGAATAAGGCCATCCCCTGATCCATGCCACAAGAACAAAGAGACCTGTTCAAGTTTCGGTATAAACTCGTATTCTAGATCAAGAGTTGGGTTGTCAAGCCTTAGCAGTGAGTGCATTTCATGGATGTTAAGCGGTTTGTACGCTGCAACTAAGACTTCAAAAATTTGTCGCAAAGATTGAAAAGTTTCGGGCGCGCCATACTTTCTTTCAAAGTACAATTGATAAGAACTGTCAAGTGACTTTGGAAAAGAATCCCATGTAAAACTCTCTGCTGATGCGAGCCACAAGTCCAACACGACTTTAACAAACTGGAAGTTCCCCTGACTTTTATCGGCTAGGACTGAGACAATTTTCTGAGTTGGCGCTTCGTTATCCTTGATTTTAAGGGCTGTCTTAATCCTGTGTATGATGGATTCTTTCATTGAAAAGACCTTCAGTGATAGATATGTGTCAATATCATTACGATTCCTCTCATCGTCCGATCTTAACTCTACTCTCTGCAGACAATCTAGGCTTGCAGTGATGGTGCTAACGTTCCGTGAACTGACAATTAGTTTTAACCACTTTGGAAATCGAGGAAGTTTGGATTTGAGCAAGTTGAGAATCTCTGCTTTGTCATTCGCACATTCATCCAAGGCATCAATGACCACATACCATGGCTCCATTCGTTGCTGCTGCAGTTTTTTCAAAGGTGTGAGGATTCCCTGCTCAAAACACCATTCTGGATCTTGAGCACAATCTTTATACAACACCCTGCGGGCAAACAAGTCTGTCGAAATAAGTTGACCATATTCAGCGATTCTCCAGGCGATCATATTTGCAAGGTTTCTAACAAATTTGGCTCCACTCTGCGTCCCTTTGTCGAAGTGCATGCAAAAATGGTACCCGAGGGTTCTGCCATGGATGAGTGGGCTGGATGTTCTGGAACAAAGTAAATGGCTTAAAAAGGCGGACTTTCCAGAGCCAGGATTTCCTGTTATTAAAACACCACGCTTGTTAGTGTGCTCTAAGACACTTTCCATTTCCTGGTACAGCCACTGACGTCCGATGAATTCTGCGTTCGACGAATTGATAAAGTCACTGAAGTCGAAGTATTTGAGCTCCCATTGATCACTGTACACCTGGATGGAACATCCTAAAAAATCAAAACCCCAGAAATTGTTTGGAATCCTTTCAATTCAAACAGAAGCATATGTGATATGCTTCTGCCTCAAATAAATACAAGTGAAGAGCTAACTAAGCTAAGCTACATACACCGCAGCTAATATACGCTGCTACTTTATTTTACTTTCACGAGTGACTTAATGCTTGCAGATATTCAGTGTTACGGGCAGAACGCTTCTGAGTGCTAAATTCGAATTATGAAGGGTCGTTCATTAACGGAGGGTCAGTAGCTCGTAGAAGGGAGCAACCTTCCGGTGAGCAGTAAAATGGTACTCCTACCACGTCTTCCTCATAAAGTCCTTAACCAATTTAGACTAATGAGAAGCTTACAAGAGAGAAGCATCCATCTCCAACTACGGGTGAGTAACGTATCAGTCAAGAACATCATTTCGCGGAATAACTGAAATAAACAAATTATCAAGTGACTAATGGGCTGCAGTCTAATGAGATGGACACTTGAGATCGCGAGCTTCTGATAACAGAATTACTGTGGTAATGTCACTCACTCACCGTCTCTGTCATAAGAATGATCCAAAACGACATAGCAATGACAGAGTAACAACAGCATCAACCATAAGACAGCATCGCGTTTTCTTAGGCCTTTGACGTTTCCTGCCAGGTTTCCGAGCACACTAAGCCAAGACTTGCCGTCTTCGTGTTTTCTTTGCCGATTCAGTTCACTGAGTTGTTTTGTCAAAATCTCCTGTTGTTGTTTTAACTGGCTTTGTTCTTCATTATTTCTAGCAGACTCCTCCTTCAATCTGACTAAATCGTTATTAAGGTTTAAAAGCTCTTTTCCAATAACTTCTTTAAANTGAAGTCGAAGTATTTGAGCTCCCATTGATCACTGTACACCTGGATGGAACATCCTAAAAAATCAAAACCTCAGAAATTGTTTGGAATCCTTTCACTTCAAACAGAAGCATAGGTGATATTCTTCTGCTTTACATAAATATAAGTGAGGAGCTAAGCTAAGCTAAACTACATACATCACAGCTAATATATACCGCTGCTAATTTATTTTACTTCCACGGCGCGAGTGACTTAATACTTGCAGATATTGAGTGTTACGGGCAGAGCGTTTTTGATACATTGAGTGCTAAATCTGAACTATAAAGGGTCGTTCATTAACGGAGAGTCGATAGCTCATAGAAGGGAGAAAACTTCAGGTGGACAGTAAAATGGTACTCCTACCACGTCTTCCTCATAAAGTCCTTAACCAATCTAGACTACTGAGAAGCTTACAAGAGAGAAGCATCCATCCCCAACTACTGGTGAGTAATGTATCCGTTAAGAACATATCATTTCGCGGAAAAACTGAAATGGACAAATTATCAAGTGACTAATGGACTAGAGTCTAATGAGATGGCCACTTGACATCACGTGCTTCTGATAACCGAATTACCGTGGTATACATCACTCACTCACCGTCTCTGTCATAAGAATGATCCAAAACGACAAAGCAATGACAGAGTAACAACAGCATCAACCATAAGACAGCATCGCGTTTTCTTAGGCCTTTGACGTTTCCTGCCAGGTTTCCGAGCACACCAAGCCAAGACTTGCTGTCTTCGTGTTTTCTTTGCCGATTCAGTTCACTGAGTTGTTTTGTCAAAACCTCCTGTTGTTGTTTTAACTGGCTTTGTTCTTCATTATTTCTAGCAGACTCCTCCTTCAATCTGGCTAAATCGATATTAAGGTTTAAAAGCTCTTTTCCAATAACTTCTTTAAAGTCAGCCAACACTCGAGCTTCCATACTGTGCAGATCGGAAACGGACTTAAGGTTGCCAATCTCTTTTAGGGCTTGCTGGGCGTCAGGGTCATGAGCTACGTTGGGATCCTGAAGCAGATTTTCAATGGCATCAAATGCGACCTTCTTGTCAGCATCGGTCAACTCTAGACAAGGCACATGCACCCAGTTGTTGTTTCGTATTTTACGGACTTCGTCAATCAAGGGTTGAGGAATAGTGAACTGGTTACACCAGTACATCAGATTCAAGATACCAGTGATGTCCATGTCGTTTGCACTCTTAATATCGGCATGTCCCCCCAAATCAGGAAGGAAGAGTTTAGCTATTTCCCAGGGGCCCAGGATTGGATCCATCCATTTAGCAGGATCACTTTGTTTCCAGTTCGGTTTGTTTCGATTGTGATGAGCCTGAAGGATATTAGCCCATGCGCAGGTACTCATGTCGTGGTACTCGTTTGGTTTTCTCCGCGGGACACGGACACAGGTGCAGGGTCCCCCGCCAGTTCGTACCGACACCCTCGCATAGAAAGTCTTCAGCTCTCTGGTAATAAACGGGCGAAGGCCTTGGCACATCTCTGTTGTTAAGGCATGACCAAGTGCAAGCCAGTTTCTGTACTCCGGTTTAGTAAGTTGTCCGACTGTTCCTGATGTGCTTGAGGATGCCATTTCTTTAGTCGAGAAAAAAGCAATTTACACATTTGGATCAGCTGAAAGCTCAATTTCGACCCAGAGCCTGGTTTTCTTTTGGTCAAAACGCGCACTCTGGCTCAAGGCTCGTTTCTCGAGTCTTCGTTTCTTTCTCTGCAAGCTTGACAAAACGAGTGACTCTTGAGAGTTTCTTTACACAACTCGATTTCGACTGGTTTAAAAACAATGAAAATGTACGACGAGTCGATTAAGCCACGTGTTTGTCAGCTGGACAATTCAGTGCAATTCAACCAGACGTCCGATATTTCCGGACTTCCAATTAGAACTTTCCGAGGTCGCTCGCTTCCCAACCGCTGGTCAGACTCTAGGTACGAGGTTGACTGTGGAATAATCCAATTTTTTGAGCATGCACAGCGTGCTCATTTTGGATCGTTGGCCAGTCAGCATAAAAGTTGAAACGACCAGAAGCTCGTGAATCGCGGATTTTTCAACTCGATCTTGGCCAGAGTCCGCGTCTTTTTGTCCTTAGACTACATTTTTAAGAAATCATGCCATCAAAAGTCAGTTGACATGAAATCATGAGATCAGTTGACATTATGTAAAACACTTTTTATTATTGTCATGCCATATTTCTGTTTTGAAAAGGACTGAATAAATTATATGGGAGTAGTATTCACGATGCAATCCGTTGGCCTTGAGCAATTCACGAAAAATTCAGAAAAGGTAGCAATTATCTGCACGTTATTCTCAATTTTGGTTATAGTGTCACTCGCCAAATGGCGATCTTCTGGTACGCCTATCATGCGCTGTAGCATACAAGAGTGCGTCAAGCACGTAGAATATTCTTTTACTTTCCTAATCTATATTTCAGGGAAACCCCTAATGCCAAAAATGCTTCTATTATTTTGTAAATTAAGTATAAAATCCTGACGAAATTCATACCACCTTAATATCCCTTTTTGCAAATAGCTTTATGTGTATACCAGTCTCTCATCGTTAGACACTGAACGTTAAACTATAACATGCAAATAATTAGAGTACCACCATCAGCTAAATGTTAGTCTTAAATTTATGCATGACACAGCAAGAGTTTCAATAAATACTTCTTGAATTAATCAGCACTATGTTCTAAAGATTATGAGGCTCGCACTCCCCAATAAATTAAATAAGCTCTTTAACAGGATTGATCTATGAGGGTCGGGATGAGGGTCCCGCCTGGCCTCAGTTTCAGTTGAATTTTCGGTGATGCGCTCCAATGCGTTCTTATCCGCATTGGAGCGGAAGACCTTCTCATCAAGCGACACGAACGCGCGGTATTTAGTCCAAAATAAAGCTAACAGAGAAACAGATTATCAAGCAAGGATCATATGGTATAAAACAGTAACGACCAAAGAGAACTTATCCTACGACGACACTAGTCACATAAAATTAACTCCCGCTTGTTGGTGGAGAACCGTTCCGTGCGGCAGGTATATTTTGCAGGTCGCAGGTAGCAGGTTGCAGGTTGAAATTTAATTATAACTGGAAAACCGCTAGCACTAAAAATAATTAATAACCTATATACTCGTCAG